CTGAGTAAACCTTTCCAGCCAGAGGTAATGGCCTCGTTTATCAGTCAAAGTTCTGATGGCTGCATAGTTGATGGCATCTCAAAGATCTACCTACTTTTCATATCAGCGTTTATACAACAGAGCTTCTCTACAGGCATATCTATTTCCCAAGAGTTTCAGGTTGAAATAAACAAAAGGCCTGGATCCACCTGAAGATAAATTGCTTTAATTATTAGGCAGATTGTGAAGCTCACTGTTTCAAATAACTCGTCAGTACAGTACCCAGCATCAGCAGTGGTTCCACTGTGCTATCTCTCCTGGGCTATCATGAAGCCTTAATATCAATGAAATGCTTTCATTTAGGACTAGCTTTATCTGTGTGATTTGTTTATTTCTTCAACAAAGAAAAGTGATCTCATTAACTGCAGGAGGAGCCTATGACTTCCTGGTGTTGCAATGTTTGCTGTTTGATATACCAGCCCAAGAATGAGTACTGTGGCTAATACATATAGAATTATCACAGTATAATTATTGTTTATGTCTTAGAATTGACATAATAAAGCTATATAATACCTACCAACTTGCATTTTTTATACTTTATGTGAGATTGTAGAAGAGGATATAGTGGTTAGGACTAATGACATTTAGACTGATGTCAAACTACTTGCATTTGAAAGTCTGCTTTACTAGTCACCAGCTGTGTATATGAACCTCAGTTTCTTCAACTTTAAAATGAGAAAATATTAATTAAAATTGCAAAAGGATTGCACAAACTAATGTAACAGGAGTGGAAGTAACACAGTCTCCAGCACTCAGAAGTATTTCATAAACATTAGCTAGGTCACCGTGAGCTAGCTCCTAATTCTCTCACACAAACTCAAGAGCATTAAGAAAGTGACTACATGCTGGAAAGATGTGGAGTGATTAAATGTAATTTTCTTTTTTTAAAAAAAAAGTGACCATCTAATAGCATTTCCAAAGCCCTAAAGACAATTGCCTCCAAAAGAAATTTCAATTGACCTGCTTCTTTAAAATGTTTATCAGAAAGGTTTCTCTAACTGTGATGACATCACTTTCCTTAGATCTGTATTACAAAACCTTGCTAACATGTTGGTTTAGAATCCCTCCCCCTTAGCCCCCCACCTCCCCCCAACACACACACTTATATCCCCATCATCAAGAATCAAGCCAGATTGGGAACCAGCAGTTAGCTTAATGGCTATGTCGCTGGACTCCCACGTAGTCGACCGCAGTTCACGTCCCAGACCCGGTAGCTTAAAACTCACACCGGGCGCGTGTGCGTGCGTGCCCAAGATCCCGAAAGGAGAATGGAGGAGAAGGGATTGCAGCGTGACCATCTCCCCTGGGGGATGATTTCTCGCTTTCTGTCTCTATGTCTCTCTCTGTCTGTCTGGCAAGTACACGTGCCCTATAGCGAAAACCTCTCTAAAATAATAATAATAATAATAATCAAGCCAGATTAAAAGCTCTCTAAAAAATTGCGGGGAGTTGGGGGGAGCTGGTAGGTGGCATGGTGGTTAAGATACTCCCAACATGGCTGACTATGGTTCAAGTTCTGGATCCAGCGGCTTGCTTTCTCTCTCTTGCTCTCACTCTCACTCTGTTCCTCTCTAGTCAAATTAAAATAAATAAAGTTAAATAAAATAATTATGTTAAAAAGAAATAAAAGTAAAAGCTCTCTAAACATATTTGGCATCAATTGGTGGAGTAACCCAGTCTTGATGTCAGTTCCCTTAATCTTATCTTTCTGAATCAGGGATAGGCATTGTAAGACCAAAGTTTTTAAAATTGTATTTTTCCTAACCATATGAATTTTTTCATACCATTTGCTCTGGGTAATGGGAGATTGGTCTTAATTGGGAAAATGGAATAATAGGGTTTATGTAAGCAATGGGAGTTTTACCACAAGGCATTTCCTCCCTTTACTGTGAGGATGAAACTCATGTTAGACACCCACCTATCTGGTGGTATTTATCCCCCCACCTTGCTACTTAAATCCATACCTCTGTTCTTTCAGGTTTACATTCATTTCATACTTATAATCTCTGCCGAAATAATAATATTCTGGAACTAAATTTGCACTTTTGTCAATTAATCGAGAATGTAGTATAAAACTAGATAAGATTTTGCAATTTTTCCAGTAAATCTGCTTCAGTCTTAAAAATATCTAGTGTGTTGGGACCAGCAGTTGGCATAATGGCTTTGTCGCTGGACTCCCATGTAGTCACCCGCAATTCGTGTCCCGGACCCGGTGGCTTAAAACTCACGCAGGGCGTGTGTGTGTGTGCGTGCCCAAGATCCTGAGAGGAGAATGGAGGAGAAGAGATTGTGGCGTGGCCATCTCCCCTGGGGGGTGATTTCTCGCTTTCTGTCTCTCTGTCTCTCTGTCTCTCTCTGTCTGGCGAGTGCACGTGCCCTATAGCAAAAAAATACATATATATATCTAGTGTGTGCCAGGTACTGTCCTATTTGTTTTGCATAAACGATGGTCTTAATCCTCACAACAGCCCTATGAAGGAGATATTAACAATTCTTCTTCCCACTTTGTGTATAAGAAGAGCAAGTTCTTAAAGAGGTTTAAAAATCATCAAAATTCTCATAGTCACAAAGTCATGAAGTTGAGGTTTAAATGCCGATGTCATTCCAGAGCCTAAGCCTTTAACCACCATGACATTTCCTGCCTCTCACAAAACAACACTAGTAGCATATGTAAAATCAAAAAACTTCATGCATTAAAAAGGAAATTTGTCACATTTTAGCATATCTTTCCAACCAAAAATATGTAAATACCTAACCCTAATTTATACATGTCTTAGAAACCATATGCCTTATAAATCACTGGGGACACAGGCAAGACTATCAAATTATCATGAAAATCAGCCAAAAGGTCAATGTAGCTTCCACATGGTTACTGTGGTATTTCAGTATTTTTATTTATGAATTAGAAAGTATTTTTCCCCCTTCTATGGCCCTAAGTTATAAAAAGGTAAAGATCTTGTGCTTTAGATGGTGTTTATTTTGTTTATTTATTTGGCTGAGCAGGAAATCATTATCGAAGCCCAGGCTCGAATATGTGCTATACACAAAACAATTTATCTACCGGAGTTCATGGGCAGCTGGATTGGGAAAAAACACATTAATTATCATTCAAGTGGAAATGCCCCCGTAGACATACCATTTAATTAACAGAGAGGCCAGTATTGGAAATGAATAATTTGAGGCAAGACAGAGATGTGTGAGATAAATCCTTAGGTGATTTAGAATATTATATGTGGATAAACATTTTAAAGATACATAAAAATGTATCTCTTTAAATTCCTTGTAAATATAAAAAGATTCCTTAGAAAAAGACCCTTCCGAATCTTTTCCTTGCCTGTATTAAAAGTCGTCACCTGTGAGCAGGAAGCTAGTTGCATTCTGCAGGAACATCAATTCCTTTAGAGGCTAGAAAATCCTACTCCCTTGAATTCAAACTCTGAAAAGATGAGAGCTAAAATCACTTCATGTAGCCGAGTTCTTCTATCTTCAAAAACCCTTGAAATGTGTAGCTCTGCCAAGATTATAAATAGAAGTGAGATGGCAGCAGTGAATTGATCATTCTGCTAAATGTGCTCATCCCATTTGGGATAGTTTTATGAAGCATGGCGGCAGCTGGGGCAGTGATGGCTGCTCCGCTGCTGTTGCTGCTGCTGCGACTGCTGCAAAATGCCTTTCCATTTTTTATTTCTTTACTGAGGAAAGCCAGAAGAGATTTTCCTAAAGCATAAAAAAAATAAAATTAAAGCTGAAAGGCTGATTTTTGGAGCAGTCTGAGAGCCCATCAGAGAGTCTGAAATGAAATCACATATATGCAGTGAGAGTCCCTGAAAATAATCTCAAATTCAGATTTCTGAGAGAGAACTAGAAAGTTTGGCACTACAGGTGAGCTATAGTAGGTTGTTGAAACACTGTCATATTTTGTGTTATGATTCTTGAAAATTACACCCTTAATAAGATAGGCCAAATGCCACATCTACCTGGGGAATGGGAAAGGCACCATAGGGGGTGAAGGGAGGAGAGGAAGTTATGGGTTTCCATTTCTAACCTTGGTATTTACTTGCAACAATATGTAAAGCAAGGCACATTTATCTTCAATGATCTTGCCTATTTTGTTTTTCCCTCCACTTTTAGCACCTCCTTACTTTAACAGCACTAGTATCAGGATTCTAATTTAATTCAATTTCTATTGGGAGAAAACATACACACATGCATATGCATACAACATCTTCATAATAAACTCTTTTCAGCACTGGAATAAGAAATCAGGGGAAGGAGGGAATGGGAGAAGGATCAGCTGATTCAATTTCAGCCTTCTTGCCAGGTTTTACCTTCATTGTGGAGGAGGCCTTTCATTCTGGTTTTCTGCATCATCCCAGTGGGCACCTCTAGGAGACATTCCCTAGCTCAGCTGAGATACTTTCAACCAAGGTTTTCAAAATTCCAAGAATTAATAAAGGGAAATAAACATTGAGAATGCAGAAATAACCCAGACTACAAAGAAGACCATCTGTCCTTCCCTAATATTTTTTCAG